CACACACACACACACACACACACACATACACATACAGAGTACACACGGAAGGGCATGCATATGAAGAAACCATGCACCAGTTGTCACAGGTCACTAAGTCTCCAAATAACTGCTTTTTATTTTGTGTGTGTGTAGAGTCATCTCTGCCATGCACAGAGGAAGTGTCGCTGTGCGGCGACACATGTGACCGCCGTCTGTCATGTGGAAAACACACCTGTTCAATGAGGTGCCACCGAGGGAGCTGCGAGACCTGCAGACAGGTCACACACACACTGAAACACACACGCAAACACACACTGATATACGTAACTATGTACACTTTGTAACACACTCTGTGCGTGTGTCTTTCAGGAGGTGGAGAAGGAGTGCAGGTGTGGTAAATACAGGAAGTTGATGCCGTGTCATAAAGAATATCTGTGCGACTCCAAATGTCCCAAAACCAGAAGCTGCCAGCGACACCAGTGCAGGAGGAAGGTGAGAACACAGCTCATCATTATCAAACAGCTCTTGTGTTCAGTCTGTGGGCCACAGCTCCTCCTGCTGGTGGGAGAAATTAAGAGACTTAAAAAGCGACTCCTCACTGAAAAGTGTCCCTGTGCGCTCCTGCGGTGTAAATGTCAGAGCGATGTCATCTCATCTGATAGGAAAAGGTTGACGGACGCTTCCTCTGTGAGGAGACAGGATGATTTGTTTATTTCAGCGCCCGTTATCGTGCCGTGAGGCGCAGATAAGATTTATTTCATTGTTGCTTCACTGCTCCGTGTTCTAACCGTTAAAATGTCACAGACTCAAACTGTTCATCCTCCTCAGACTCTGTTTCCCATGATGCCCTGTGTTTCAGTGTTGCCCTGGTAACTGCCCCCCCTGTGACCAGAGCTGTGGGCGAACTCTGGGGTGTCGAAACCACAAGTGTCCCTCTGTGTGTCACCAAGGTAACGATACGTTCACATGAAACGCACAGGTTTTGTTATTCAGTGGTTTCATGAACAAATATAAACTAGTGGATGTGAACGCAGCTTCCAATGAAACTTTATTAACTGTCACAAACAACAACAAACATGCTATAGAGTATGATCAGTTCTAAAGAACTTTACCATGCATTCTCTCTCTCTTTCTCACACATGTCACATCACATAAGTGTTTGTTGAACTGGTTGTGATTTGTTGAGAGTCACAGCTGGATGAAGGTCGAAGGTCAAACTCAGGAATATTCTTCCCCACAACACCTCCTGATGAGTGTGTGTGTGTGTGTGTGTGTTCATTGACATTTCCTTCAGCTGAACACAACTTGCCCTGTGTGTTTGGGAAAAGGTTGACCTCTGCTTCCTGTCAACCATCATTAACCCCTGTAACAAAGACGTGTGTGTGTGTGTGTGTGTGTGTGTGTGTGTG